CTACAGGACGAGGGGGAGAGCCGAACCCCTCCATCCCCCCCCCAGCCATCTCCACAGATGCGAGCCCCCATCCGGCCCCCAGGCCTTCTGGCAGAGCCAGGATTTAACCCCTTTTCTGAAGGCCATGAGGGAGGGGGCACACCGGACCTTGGGGGGCAAGATGTTCCATAGGGCAGGAGCCACAGCAGAAAGGTTTGTCTGCCTACATTATTTGCCCAAGAAATATTATTCCATCTGGCAGGTTAATTAGATTTATACTCCAGGTTTAAATCTGAGAGAGGAGAAGAAAAAGGTGCAACTCAAACCTAGGATCTGAGGATTCATCTAGCACTGCCTTTTGTTGCAATCTGTAGATCTGCTTTCCCTGACTTGGAACCTGCCAGATGTCTTGGAACTACAATTCCTAGTCTGATTGTGGGTATTTTAATCCCAGCATTTACAGAGGGTACCAAGATGGAGAAAATTATTGTAAATTCATAATGTTTTCCCTTTCATTCTGCAAATGCTCTCTTCCTCTACCCCTGCCGCCCTGTGACTGCCCTTCAGGCTCCAGGGTAGTTAGGTGCCATTGAGTTGAGTTTGATTTCTGGCGACTGGGTTGATGCTTGCCATCTTGATTTATTCAGATTACTATGAATAAAACTTGCAAACTGTCTGTCTTCCTGTCCCTGCTGTGACTTTTGCATTCCAGGCTAGCTGTTGTAGTGTTGCAGGCTTTGTTCAGCAGAGCTCTGCCAGAGATTGCAAGGGAATTGGACTCTGGAAACACCTGGAACTTCCTGATGGACCCTGGAAGCAGCCTCAAGGGTGTTGCCCTGTTAGCCAGGTAAGGGTCATATCCCTAACTTGGGAAATCCTCATTTTTCACTCACCCCAGGAGAAGTCATTCTCCTGATCTTTGCAGGTAAGTCTAAGAACTGAAGTAGATGTTCTTAAGCCAATAAGGTCTGCTACCAAGACCTTAGATTTGAGCTCAGCAGTTTTTATCTGTGGTTCTATGGAAACGTGAAACAATTCCACAGTGTTCTTTGCTTTGAACTAGTAGTACTGGTACTACTAGTTTGGTAGTACTTTGTAGTACTTTGTACTTTGTACTACTAGGTAGTACTTTGCTTTGAACTACTGGTACTGGTTCAGATCATTGTTTGAAAAACGTTGGTGAAAATGAAATTACAGAGGGTAATGGCAAAGTTGGCACATTAGAACTTTGAAAGGGTGGGAGGGAGTTTAGGGTTATATTAAAAAACTTCTTGGAAGATTTGGGGAATCCAGTTTTGGAGTAATCTTGAGAAGAAACAGATCCTTTGATACCAAGTTAGTTGGCACCTCGTTGCTTCCTTCATCAGGGCCTTGATGCACACAAAGAATCCCCTTTTAGATGGGCTACTCCATCGTCTCTGTTCTTCTCTGATGTCCTCCAGAGCAACATCTAGAGATCTTAGCCTGGTCTTCTGCATGGAGGTAAGATATCATTTCAGGTGCTGCAAGGTAAAGCAGCCAGGAGAAATGGCAGAATAGGGCTGGGGTTTGATAGCCTTAACCTTGTGGAGGATGAGGCAATAAATAAGTCATGGGCCATGTGCAGAAATAATTGAGAAGCAAATATATAGTTTTCTACTGTTTTTCAGTGGGGAAAAATAGTGAAGTATTAAAACATCCACTTCCAATGACCAGTTTGGAAATTCAGTAACTGTAATTTTGGTATTCCAGCTTATAGGTCATCCTCTCCTGGAGAAACGGGAAACACTGAACCTTCTTTTACATCTATTACTGACCCAAGTTCAGAATGGAAATTGTCTTATGCGCATCTTGTCAGTACGAGGGCTGGGGAACATGGCAAAGGGTGCTCCAGAGGAGGTAAGCCACAACGTATAAAACTGAGACTTCCTGTTCTAAACACAAAGGTGAGGGAGAGGGACAACTGTACTGTAATGGAATAGGGGCGTTGGGGTTGCTTTAGTTCATATGGAGTTGTTGGCAGTGATTGGCAGAGCTGTTCTTATGTCAGAAGGATGTTGGGCAGGCAAGATAATCTTTGACTGCCCTTGTAGAGCTGTTTAGGGAGCACCCAAGAAAGAAGAAAGCAGATGTCTGAGGAAGAAATAGCCCAAGGGGAAGAGGACTCCAAAAGGGTATGTTCCCAAAGGTGAAAGAAAGAGGACATTGCAGAGAAGGGAAGGAAAATGGACAGCAGCACGCTGGACCTGTTAGAGGGAAGAGAGCTGCTGTTACCATATTGACCTGAAGTAGTCATGCCACAGTGTGTTAGTTGCTTTTAGACAGCTTCTACTAATAACAGAGATTAGAAGTGGATCATAGGAGATAGAGAGCAGTCCAGGCATTGACAAATGCAAGAATTGCTTCACAGGCAAAGAAGTACCGGAAAGCTTTGCTAAAGCCTCTCCTCCAAGCTCTGGGTGACACCTCCAGCCCAGAATTGGCCACTGAAAGTCTATGTGCCTTGTGCAAGTTATGCAGATGTCTTGGGAAATGGCCTGCAGATTGTACTTTCCAGATCGTGGTCAGCCAAGCCTGTGCACATCTCCGACATGTAAGTTAGCCTTTCGGCCACAGGAAGACCATTCTCCTGTTGGTGCTTTAGTAGAAAAGTGTTGGACCAGGTCCTCCTAAACTAGCATTGTGTTTCCAACAGCCTCCAGGGAGCCTATAAGCGAAGGTAGAAAGGTAGAGTCTTCCCTTCCTCTTGCTCTCCAGCAGTTGGTATTTAGAATCACATGGCCTCTGAATCTGGAAATTCAGGCATTAGAGCCAATTGCCACTGAAATACCTCCACCACCTCCATCACCACCACCTCCTCCTCCTCCTCTTCTTCCTCGTCTTTCTTCTTTGCTGAATTTCCCCTGAAGGCACTCTTAAACCAGTAGCCATTATTATTACAACTTGCGGCAACAAAACTTCTTGCAATCAGTTAAAGATTATATGAACCAAATACTTCCTTCCATTGGGCTAAAATCTAGTTCTGCAGAGTTATGACATTGGAAGTCCACCTTTCTTGTGGGGAAGGTTGAGGGCTACATTCAGAATCAGTGAAATAGGTTGGGTGTTACAGGGAGGAAGCGGGTGGAGTACGGAGGGGAAGGGAGGCAATCAAACTATAAAGTGAGTGTGTTCAGAATCAACATTGGGCATGTCTACATCTTTGGCTAATTCCTCCATTTCCCATAATAAACAGATTTTTTTCCTCTCCTCCAACTTTCCCATGTTTTATATAAGATAAAAGGAGAAGGAGTTGGACAGGTAAGAAGAAAAGCAACACTGTGAAAACAATAGCACCACACTTTGCAGCAGCAGTTGTGAATGCCACTGAAATGCCACTGATGCAGGGGAGAAAGTAGCAGGCAGTTGCAGGAGTAGACTTGGGGAGCCACATGTATTCAGCAGGTCATAGGTTGTGTACCCCTGACCTTCTGTGGATAGACAAATTGCCTAATTCCATCCCAACCCACCTTGGGGATGGATATTAAATTTCCTGCTGGCAAAGAAAACCTTGTTTCCTGAAGATGGGCTTAATTTTCCCTCTCTTTTGCAGGCAGATGATGCTGTCCGTACTGCAGCCTTTGAGTTGCTTGGTGAACTGGCCAAGACAACTCCACTGAGGCTTTCCAAGTTTTTTGCCAAGGAGGTGGGAGGCGCTTTGGCTGCCCTCCTGTTGCACTTCCGTGATCCTTGCCCTCATGTGGTCCAGGTTTGCTTGAGAACAATACAACCTTTCCTCTTTAGGCAGGGCACCCTGTCCCTCCACCCTCTTCCCAGGGCTTCTGTTGAGGCTTCAGATTTTGACTGCACTAGAATGGGCTGCAATTTAATAGACTGTTTGGAGCAGGTGAAGTGCCATTCCTGGGCTAGAAAGTTTAGTTCTATTTCCATAGGGAAAGTAGCAAAAGGGGTACAGTATAGTAAACTTCTCTATCTTTTCTACTTAGGCCTGCCAAACTGCCTTTGTCTCATGTGCCCCATTCATGGGCCTGCATGGGCTTTTAAAGAGTACAAATGCAGATTTACTGCTGATGGACCTCTCTGATACACAACATTCCTACCTCATGGGCAGAGTTTGTCAGCAGCTGGTGAGTAAGCAGACAAATTTGAGCCAGGCAATCTCTTAATGTTAATCAAGCTTAGCATGTTGTGTGAATGTATCTGCAACACCTTTACCTCAATTGGCTAAGCGTGTTTGTGAACAAAGCTTTTGGGTCAACTGACGGATCTATACATAAAACGAGAAAAAACAGGCAGTAAAAAGTATTTCTGCAATCCTGAGTAAGAAATGTAGAGGTATCTCTTGGCCTCCCTTTCCGGTAAATGTTTCTCCACCCCTTTTCAAAGTGTTTAAGCTAAAGGCCATAAGGCTCTCAAGGTTAACTAGGAGTTGTGTGGGTTGATTGTTTTTCTTAAATGGGTATAATGTTATTACAAAATAAATGTTTTTACTTTCCACACATCGTGGGTTGTTTTAAAAGCTGATCGTGCCTCCATCCCTTTGAACATTTTTATTTTTAAAAAATCTTGTCAACTTTCCCTTTATCCTTTTTTCTTCTCTGCACAACTTTTCTCATTTGTCCCTTAGGCTCAGAGAAACCCATTGCTGCTGGAAGCTGCCATGGCAGAGGTGGCCCAGTATATATGCTGTAGCTGGGAAGGGATCAGGCCTGTGGCTTGCAAGCTGGCAGGTAGGCCATTGTGGCTGGATTTTCACCATACTGTAAGCTAAACCCTAAACCCAAGTTAACAGAACTGAATAAACCATAACGTGGATTATCATGATGCCCTGGTTCACACAATATGTGAAGACTGGGTTCACCACAATGCACTGAACTACTGTACCCAATTTGGTATTAGCTAATGGCTGGGTTCATGCATGTGGACTCTCAAACTACTCAGTTCCACTTTAGCTTAACATTGTGAAATCCACATCTGTGTACTGCAGGCATGCACATCTATGTATTCTGAGAAAGGAAGAGCCTCTTTCTTTTATTTATGCTAGGAATCCTTGTAGAGAAGGTGGAAGCCCAGCACCTGGGACAGTGTGGTGTAGAACAACTCTTACAAGGTGAGTATTGTATACAAAGTTCTTTGACTAGAGCAGAGGTGTGGAGCTATCTTTGAGACACTGGCTATAATGGTTCTTTGAAGGTCATGTTAGGGACAGCATTACCAAAAGTTTATTTAATTTAAATATTAACAGTATTTAAATGACCCCTCCCCATGCATTTAACCATTTCCCCTTCTGTTACATTTAATACTAAAATCTGTTAGCATTTTTTGGAAGGTCTCATAAGCCATGCATTGATCTAAGAGAGGCAGCTTGATGGAAAACCAGGGCACAAAACCGTAGAGGGGATGACAGAGAGCTGCTGCCTCAGCTTGTATGACCATGTTCCAGCAGAAGACCAAATAGATCCTTACAATATGGATGAAATCCATGGCCACATCATACACTTCCACTAGGATTGAGATTGTCCTGGTTTCCATCAAAAATCTTGGGTGCTATATGTTGAAATCACTGTTCTCCTCCAGCAACATCGAACAACAAAAGGGAAATATTCTAATCCAGTCGCAGCAAGGAATAACCAAGTTATATCTGTGCTAAAAATGTACTATAATTGTGCTTATACAACACAATTTGGTTACCAAATTAATCTGTTTTGGAGGTGTGCACAATACATTGAAACATAACCTGTCCTAACATGTTGGGCTCACACAATATAAGCCCTAAACCTGGGTTAATAAATTGCCCTGTTCATATAAGATGCAGTGCTGAAACAAATACTATAGCTACAAAATGGCTTAAATCTATGGCTTGGTTCACACAGTCTGCAAAGATATGGCTCGATTCACACAACGTATCGAATCATAAATTATCCAGTCCCACTTAAGTCTAATTAAGTTCATGGAGAAAGCACGAGAGTTCCAGAAAAACATCTACTTCTGCTTCATTGACTATGCAAAAGCTTTCGATTGTGTGGATCACAACAAACTGTGGCAAATTCTTAAAGAGATGGGGGTACCAGGTAGAATTCTAGGGTAAATTAATTCCATGGCATGGGTTCGACACACTCACTACATCACCCCAGTGTGCCAGTCTTCAAGCCAGTTGTTAAGTCGTGTCCAACTCTTCGTGACCCCATGAACCATACTGCGCCAGGCCTTCCTTACTATAGCTACAAAATGGCTTAAATCTATGGCTTGGTTCACACAGTCTGCAAAGATATGGCTCGATTCACACAACGTATCGAATCATAAACTATCCAGTCCCACTTAAGTCTAATTAAGTTCATGGAGAAAGCACGAGAGTTCCAGAAAAACATCTACTTCTGCTTCATTGACTATGCAAAAGCTTTCGATTGTGTGGATCACAACAAACTGTGGCAAATTCTTAAAGAGATGGGGGTACCAGGTAGAATTCTAGGGTAAATTAATTCCATGGCATGGGTTCGACACACTCACTACATCACCCCAGTGTGCCAGTCTTCAAGCCAGTTGTTAAGTCGTGTCCAACTCTTCGTGACCCCATGAACCATACTGCGCCAGGCCTTCCTGTCCTTCACTGCCTTACTATAGCTACAAAATGGCTTAAATCTATGGCTTGGTTCACACAGTCTGCAAAGATATGGCTCGATTCACACAACGTATCGAATCATAAACTATCCAGTCCCACTTAAGTCTAATTAAGTTCATGGAGAAAGCACGAGAGTTCCAGAAAAACATCTACTTCTGCTTCATTGACTATGCAAAAGCTTTCGATTGTGTGGATCACAACAAACTGTGGCAAATTCTTAAAGAGATGGGGGTACCAGGGCAGTGAAGGACAGGAAGGCCTGGCGCAGTATGGTTCATGGGGTCACGAAGAGTTGGACACGACTTAACAACTGAACAAAAAAAAAAAACTTAAGTCTAATGTAGTGTGTGCTACAAACCCATGCCATGGAATTAATTTACCCTAGAATTCTACCATGACCTGATACAGCTGGCTGAAAAATAACCAAAAGAATCTTTAACTAAAAGGGAGTCTGAAGTTACAATGGTTAAATACGAATTTCAGGCTACAGTTGCAAGGGCTGTACAAATAGCTTGTGCACAAAAAGCTTTTGTCAAGAGGGTAGGAAGGACCAGAAACATGGTAGCCAGCTAGCTTTGGGTTAACTTTTCCCTTCTCATCTTGCCCTTCACAGCTCTACACTCTGTGAGTCGTGATCCCAGTGCCACTGTGATCAACACAGCCTTGGAAGCTACTCACACTATCCAGCAGAAATGGCAGGAGAGCCAGGTGAGACTGGCCTCTGGACACCAAAGGAGAGCTGTGCCTTTTGGATGGTTCTTCAGGAGGCCGCCAAAAAACCCACTGGGAGCTGCAAGGCCTTGGTCGGCTTAAAGACAAGAACCATCAGAAAAGAAATGGAAATGGAAATATAGCCTCTTTCATAGTTGGTGCAAGTGGTGGTATGTCCTTTCCAAGAAGCATCTTTTTGACTCTTTGTTGTTTATCCTTAAAACCTGGGAAGTAGCAATCAAGGAAATGAGTGGGGTTTGTGGAAGGGATTAAGTGAGAACCGTTTTGCCTTTTTCTGGTTGTCTTGTCTTTGTTGTGGGGAGGGGAGGAATTGGTGTCCCATGCAGAGATCACAAATCTAAAAAGTTTGAAGAACTCTAAAAGATGGAGCTTTCTATTTACTTAGCCTTCCTAACCAAAGGATTGTACATAGAGTTCATGGAGTGTAAAATGAGGCCAAGAAGTGCCTACTTTTGGAATCCAAAGGTGACTTTAGAATTATTCACTGAAGATATAGGACCATTGTTACAATATCGCTTAATCGAGCAGGAATCAGAAGGTCATCTTTTGATTAGACCACCAACTTATTAACCTGCAGCCCACCACACCAGCACATCTGGCCCAAGGGGCCTTGAAGAAGACCCCTGCCCATCCATTAAAGCAGTGTTTCTCAACCTTGGCAACTTGAAGATGTATGAACTTCAACTCCCAGAATTCCCCAGCCAGCATGTTGGGAGTTGAAGTCCACACACCTTCAAGTTACCAAGGTTGAAAAACACTGCATTAAAGTATCACTCATCCTCACTATTCCTGGTTATCCAGTGTTTTACCAAGTCAGGAAGGGTAAAAGCCAGCCCTGCCAATTTGGCCATTTGTCTTCCATTAGGGAAGCTGTTTGGCAGCTGTGAAGGAATGAAGAGCTAACCTTGAGAATGGGGAAGGAGGGAAGAAGAGTTAAGAGTGGACTTTGTGAAAAGATTACTCAGTCCTGAGGAACAGAAAAGCTTGAGAAAGTACCTTAACTCTGCCTTGATTTTGCTTAGCATATGGTGGGACAGACAGAAACTTGAACAGGATTCCAAGATGTCTACAGAGAGCAAACCCCACTCCCTTCTAGCACTGAAGATATTACCTAGCCGGGTAATGAAACATTTGCAAGGAAACAACCAAGCTCAGAGAACCCCAAGGACTCCATAGGAACTGACCTGGTTGCCGCATAATTTACATAAAAATCTTTTGCCCACCCTTATTATTTAAGAAAGAGGATAATACAAATATATATTTGAATTAATGAACCTCTTGGGCATTATTGATGAACTGCCCTTCAGAAAAGGACAGGAAGGCCTGGCGCAATATGGTTCATGGGGTCACGAAGAGTCGGACACGACTTAACGACTGAACAACAACAAGCCCTTCAGAAAAGGCAGTGAAGGACAGGAAGGCCTGGCGCAATATGGTTCATGGGGTCACGAAGAGTCGGACACGACTTAACGACTGAACAACAACAAGCCCTTCAGAAAAGGCAGTGAAGGACAGGAAGGCCTGGCGCAATATGGTTCATGGGGTCACGAAGAGTCGGACACGACTTAACGACTGAACAACAACAAGCCCTTCAGAAAGAATGTAGCATTATGGAATATCCAGTGATGATGGATATTGGGTTACAGACTTTCTGTGGCATGGAAAAATATTGGAGAATGTGCAAATGCTGGGCTGGATGCTTGATGACAGGATCCAGGACAGCCACTACATTTTGTATAAGTAGATTATTCTACAAACACAATAAGAGGACGGCCTGGAAGACCTCTTACTTTACAAGCATGGAGCAAAGGTCCCTGTTTCTGATGAAAATATTTATTCTTTCAACTATATAAAGAAGAATTTTTATTAGGGGGCCTCATCCCCTGGGGATTTCTCTTGAACTGTTGCAGATTGGGTCAGGTTGCTGGCTGACGTTCGAGAGAAAACTCTTGAAAGAGCAGTGGAGACTTTCTCAAACACAGAAGATCGTTGGCGGGGTGGTACACTTCCCTCAGGGTTAGTGGTTGAAATGACTTTTCCATCCTCTTCTTCTGTGGAAGGAAACAGAGCTCTTGTGATGGGTTTGCATGCCTCAATCTGTCATTGGGGCACATAAAGTGAGACTAGGAGAAGTAAAAGAGAAGAGCAACTCTCTGATCAGCCTCTTTGTCCTGTAAAGATCTCATTTCAGTAGGCTGCTGGGCTCCTGAGTAGCCCCTGAAATTTCACTTTCATTTTTGTGATTTTTTAAAAAAATCTCCCATTATTTTCATTAGTTAGTTTGTTATGGATGCTGTAAGCTGCCTTAAGGCATTAAAAAAATGACATGCACACATACACACCTACCCATCGCGCCATTCGTTTTGAGGATAAGCAAGATTATGCAAAGTACAAAAAAGTAAGAAATAGTAAAGCTAAAGAAATTAAAGGCACGAGGCAAGAAAAGGAGACATGCTGGGAACAGGGGGGAAACAATGTGTTTTATAAATGCTTTTTAGCAAAGCATGATAAGACCATCTATACTGTAACTAGCAGAAATTGTGCAGTGTCAAAAGTCAGTCAGAGAGTCTTCCTGTTGATTTATGGAACTATTTGCTTAGAGAAGCTTTCCTACAAATTAAGAATTCTCTGAAGTTCAACTTTCTCCAGCCTGGTGCCACCCAGATGGGTTGGGATTGCATCTCCTTGCCCGCAGAGTCTTTGGCTGCAGGTCCAACCCATCTGGGGGTACCAGAGTGGGGAAGCCTGGTAGAGTCTATCTAGAAACCCAGGAGAAAGCTTTAGAGCAGTGTTTCTCAATCTTGGCAACTTTAAGAGGCTGGCTGGAGAATTCTGGGAGTTGAAGTCCACACCTCTTAAAGTTGCCAAGATTGAGAAACACTGCTTTGGAGAAAAAGGAGAGCCCGACTCCCAGAATGTTGTTATCTACACTACCTGGATTAGTACATCAATTGCTCGCTGATGGATTTCCTCCCTTAGGAAATGACTGACAGATTGTTCTTAGTCATTCTTGATCACTATTTAAGAGGCTAAGCTGACTTGTTTTCATCAGTTCAACGAAGAAGTGATGTAAAGCAATAGTTAACTCTGGAGTAGGGTGGGTAAAATATCTCGTCTTTCAGAGTTTACCTTAGCCATCCCACCTGCAATTTAAGAATAATATTGGTTTGTCTTACAGGTTAATTATTTGAACATTTAAATAGGAGGGTTTTTTAAAATGCCATGGTCCAGCTTTGATCAAGTCTATACTTCGCTCGTTAACAAGATTGCTTGAGGGATATTAAAGAATACACCCTTCTCATTCATACGCTTTCTATGTGCTTTATTGTTAATTTGCATTAATAAACTGTAGCTGCATTCTCACAAGTTCAACTTTCTTACTGAACTAAATCCAGACAAGCACTAGAGTTAGAGTTTTTGTTTCTCTTTGTAGCTAGTGGTCATCCAGATTTTCAAAGCCCTGATATAGTGGCCGTAAACTAACCCATTTTTTTGAGTTCACACAATATATTTAATAATAAGCTTATTATATCAGGTAGGTCTGACCGACATAATACACCTCTGCAAACTAACCAAGGTTAATACTAACAAAGTATTTTATGCAAATGCTACCTTTGTATTTTTAATCTATGCTGGTGTTGTGAATACAGCCTATACAGTAGGTCATTATTTCCTAAATTCTGAGAGAAGGATATTTGATATTTTAATTTTTCTAATAAGTAAGAATTAAGTTTTCTTAGTTACAACCTTTTTGTTCTTGCATGATTTACTTTCTAAGCATACATCTGCTTGGAAAAGGAGCCTGATCCAAAATAGTGACTCATCCAGAGACAAACTGACAAACAAATCTTCTCAGGGCAATTAGACCCACTTCTCATTTAGTCACCAAGTTCCGTTCCAATAACCAGGTTGTTAAGTGAAACGGTTGGTAAGTGAACACATGACAGAGAGAGAGAGAGCGGGAGAGAGAGAGATGCTGCAAAGATTACTGGTTGCTACCATCTCATTCAGATAAAGTTCTCTTGTACAGCTCTGCTAGTGTTGCTCTCACTCTGGTGTGCGTTGTTGTCAGGCACACAAAATTTGGTCTAAATGCATACATTGGTTGGAAAATGAATTTTTTATTACTGTTGTATTTGCAAATGGCTGCTAACCAAGGTAGTCGCTAAATGAAGAGTGGGTGTAATGCAGCTGAATCAGCATCAACACAAAGTGCAACTCAGAAGCATAAAAGGTTTCCTTCCAACAGCACAGGCTAGTGACTTAGTTGGAGATGCAACACTGAGTAGCCCTTCTCTTGCCAGCTACTTGGGATCCAGATCCTAATTTTTTAAATTAATCCTAAAACATACCACAAAACTTACTAAAGTAGACACCACCAGGAGAGTTCTGGTAGTTATTCCCAGCTCAGAAGCTCCACTCCTATCTGATTCTGACCAGAGTTAAAAAGCAACGGTTACTGAGCATGTACAACGATTAACACCTTAATTGTTATACACTGCCCAGGGTCGCTCTGGGTGAAATGGGCGGCTATATAAATGTGATATATAAATAAATTAATTAAAAACTAAAAAAAATACCTGTGTGAGTTTCTGAAACACCATCTGGAGTGTCGATATTTTTGTCCTGATAGACAGATGTAATCTGTAGAAGCAGAAAAAGATCAGGAGATAATAAGAACACATGTCACTTCTACTTTAAATTTATCCAGACTCTTGGTCCAGCTAGCCAAATTTATCAGAACCGGACTGCATATCTGTGAACTATCATTAGATGGCAGCAAAGAGATAAAGAAAACTAACTACGTACTGTATTGCCCTTTATGGTGGTCATTTGGATTCTTGCGTTCCAGATGTGGTAGTCTTAAATACTGTCTGCCCAGATGGACAGCAGCTCTATAGAATCTAAGTTCACACCTGATTAAACTAAAATATGGGTGGATAGTTTCGGCCTACATATGTTCCATGAATCCTGCCAGTATAGCTAGTTTATCATTCACTATATGGAAAACTCACCCAACTTAGTTAATTCAGTAAACCATGACTACATTTACAACATGTATAACACATTAATGAATTAAC